AGTAGGCAGTGAAACGGCGATCTTAATACTTAGCCAATCAAGGGTTTCAAACTTGAACGATGGAAACTTTTTTAGTTATATTATAGGAAGATGAAAATTGTGTATATCATAAAGAGTGGCTGAAAGAATAACTGGACTTAGGTAACTGATGAGGATTTAATATCCGAAATGAGTTGATTCGAGTGAAGTCATATAACCTGTTTGTGAGAGATATAATTCTCATATGACTGATACGAATGATTTTTTTTTGAAGTTCCAAGCTCATCAAGATCAGAGTTCATACAAGTATCTCCTATACATTTCAATACTGATCATGTTGGTAATAAGTTATATTTTCATACCATAATACATCATATTTTTCATCCGATTCTCAATTTCAGAGTATTTTCATTTTTCATGCTCTCTTTTTGGATGTTCAACAGATATAATTCAATGTTCGACGTGACAAATAACCATGAAAGTACTTGTTTTCTGTTGAATTTTCAGAATAATGTTATGTGCATATACAGGGTGTCAATTTGAAAACTTCCCACCCTCAATATCTCCCTCCAAGTCGATAATATGGAAAAACGAAAAGAAAGGTCGATTTTATTTTCGAGGGGGACATGGTTCTAAAATATTTTCAGCCCCGCGGCGTTGCCGCTTCTAACGAAAAGAAGCAACAACTTTGTTATTTCAAATGGAACACCCTGTATTTTATTGCATTTTTAGATTTTCACTGAAAAGCTGATTTCATCAATGTATCACACTTGGGGTCTAGCAGGAATGATTACAGAGATATAGGGTGTTGAAAATCGAGATTTTACAACTTTAGGATTTTTTTGAGTCGAAACTATTCATTATTGGTCAAAACGGCTTTTATGTCCCTATCTCAACTTTTGATTTACTATCTACTGACATTTATTTGAAACAAATACAGGGTGGTTCAAGATTCAGACTTTTGATCACCCTGTATTTGTTTCAAATAAATGTCAGTAGATAGTAAATCAAAAGTTGAGATAGGGACATAAAAGCCGTTTTGACCAATAATGAATAGTTTCGACTCAAAAAAATCCTAAAGTTGTAAAATCTCGATTTTGAACACCCTATATCTCTGTAATCATTCCTGCTAGACCCCAAGTGAGATACATTGATGAAATCAGCTTTTCAGGGAGAATCTGAGAATGCAATAAAATACAGGGTGTTCCATTTGAAATAACAAAGTTGTTGCTTCTTTTCGTTAGAAGCGGCAACGCCGCGGGGCTGAAAATATTTTAGAACCATGTCCCCCTCGAAAATAAAATCGACCTGTCTTTTCGTTTTTCCATATTATCGACTTGGAGGGAGATATTAAGGGTGGGAAGTTTTCAAATTGACACCCGTATATATATTTTTATCTGAAGGAGAATGCAAATTCTCAACTTTAGGAGATTTTGTGTTCAAATTCTTATCGTGTATGTTCAATAGATATAATTCAATGTTCGTCGTGGCATATAGTCAGGAAAGAAGTGGCTTTTTGTTGAATGAACCGAAAGAGAATTGATATTCTTATGACATAAAGAATGCGAATTCTCTATGTATTTCTTCCTATACAGGGTGATTCAAAAGTAAGCGGCATCCTGCTTCCAGGGGCGTATTTCTTGCATGAAAATAAGGCAAAAAGTTCCTATTAATGAGGGTCCAAAAATACTTCCTAAGGGAGCTACGCCCCTTTGAATAGGATATCTCAAAGACGATTTTTTCTCTATAACCTTGAAATCCTTCTCAATAATTTTCGAAAATTGGTGTTCGGCATAAACATTCGATGGTAAATAAGACTCTAGATTCAGGACTTCGAATCTTTTTTCAGGGGCGTCACGCATGCGGGGAAGGGTAAGTGTAAAAACATCCCTTCTTCTTTTGATATTCAAGTTATTTTTATTTACGCAAATCAGAAAGTTTTCAAATTCGATTTTCTCCTAAATGGTACCCTCTAGCACTCTAGCGGAATGACCTAAGAAAATCTTTAGAATGTTATAATTTCAAAACGGAATCACAATAACCTGAATATCAAAAGAAGAAGGGATGTTTTTACACTTACCCTTCTTCGCACGTGACGACCCTGCATGAAATTTTGCAATTTTGAATTCAGAGTCTCATTTATCATCAAAAGTTCATGCCATACACCAATTTCCGAAGATTTATTGTGAAGGATTTTGAAGTTATAGAGGAAAAATCGTCTTTGAGGTGTTCCATTCAAAGGGGCGTAGCTCCTTTATGAAGCATTTTCGGACCCTTATTAATAGGAATTTTTTGCCTCAAATTTATGCAGGAAATACGCCCCTGAAAGGGTGCCGCTTATTTTCGAACACCCTGTATATACAGGGTGTTCCTTGAGTACGTGTAGAAAATTCAGGAGCATGTTGCTGACGTCAAAATAAGAAGAAAAGTTCGTATAAATATATGTCCGAAAGTTCTTCCTTTCTGAGATACAGAGTGTCAAAGTTGAATTCTTATTTTTGTTTTAATAAATTTCAAAATAATTGTGATATTCGAAAGAAGTTTGGTATCTAGGGGTATTTTTCAATGACACTATCAAATTTCATGGTAGTTTGTCTCTGTCGTGGGGGTGGAGCCACCTACATGTCCTTTGAGTCTTTTGAAAAGTCATAACTTTTTTGTGCCTACCTGTATCACGTTTCATGGTAGAAAAATAGATTTCTAGAAACCTTTTGTGTAACAAATATATTCCTGGTAGAGGTCGCTGCGAGCAACTGTTTTCGTGTTATTGCGATTTGAAATAATCGATGCGTTTGATTTATTTCCATGCGGCTCGTTAGTCGCCTCTGAGTAGTAAATATCAGAAAAGATACGCCACTGCATTTTTCTTCATCCATTCAATATTCTCCTACATTCAACATTGGAATATCAGCAAAAAATGATTCTTACTTCTTTGTACCTACTTTTTTGAACTCTTCCAATTCAAAAGAATAACAATCGAATGAAAGATTCCCTCATCGACTGCCGAATCACCAGACATTCAGAAACCTTTTTCAGCGTCTTATGGAGTCTGGATACTTTAAAAAAGCACCAGTGATAGGCAGAACCGTTGACTACAAGGACTTCAGAAATTGAAGGAGCTGTTCTTCAGGCAACTGAAGAAGATCCACAGACAAGCACGAGAAAAATTGCGCAAAATCTTACGAGTCCCATGGAAATAATTCAATTGCATCGATTATTTCAAATTCCAATAACTCAAAAACAGTTGCTCGCAGCGACCTCTACCAAGAATATATTTTTTCCACAAAAGTGTTCTAGAAATCTATTTTTCTACTAAAAAACGTGATATAGGTACGCACAAAAAAGTTATGACTCCAAAAACTCGAAAGGCATGTAGGTGGCGCCACCCCCACGAAAGAGACAAACTAACATAAAATTTGATATTGTCATTGAAAAATACCACTAGATACCAAACTGCATTCGAATATCACAAATATTTTGAAGTTTATCAACAAAAAACAAAAATTAAAATTCAACTTCGACACTATGTATCTCAGAAACAAATAACTTTCGGACATATATTTAAAAGAACTTCTCTTCTTATTTTAACGTCAGCAACCCAGTGAGCACAAAAACATCTCAGAGATGTTAAAAGTACAAGATTTCGAGACATTGAACCTCCACTGCGATGTTCTGTTCACACATGAATAGAACTAATATAGAACAGCCAATGTCCGCCGCAGGCGGCAATTATCGAGATGTCCTTGATATGTCATAAAACTACCTTCTCCCTAGTTCTTTTCAAAGCCTCTTCATGGACACAACAAAACATTTTCAACGCGTCTTGCGCACATTAAATCGCTGTAAAAAAAAACATTTTCGAGGTACTTTTCTGAAGCCTTTTGTCAAAATGAACTTTTGCATTAGGATTCCATTTCCCTTCAATGAAAAAATGCATTAAAAATAGATTGAACATAAAAATATATTCTTGATATGAAATTACCTTCTTAATCGGTTTCTGAGTAGTGCTTACTACACACAGACATATAATTGGAAATAGGTTTCCCAATTTTTGAAATGTTCTCCACGATGCATAATTTTGCAACTGCGGAGAAGCTGTGTATTGATAAATTCGTACTTTTATATATTGATTACACTGAGGCACCGAACAACACATCTTGCATCTGATGGTCATTATTACAAACTAAATAAGTCTTCTAACACAATAAATTTCACCAAATTCCTTTCTGTTCGTTAGCAGCGTGATGTAAGCGTGACACGCTGCAAACGCTAATGCCAATTGCGAACAAGAAGAACAAAATCGAAAACAAATCAAAATTCATCGTATTGTGACGTAAGCATGAGACGTTGTGGTGGGGCAAACAAAGAAAGGGCACAAAAGAACAAAAACAATACTTTCAATATCCTTTTAAGACCTCTTTGAGAAGTGCATATTACGCCCCAAAAAAACATCCTCATGCCTACATTTCTAAAATATCCCAAAACATCCCAGGGATACCTCTCAGTAGGCAAACAAAGAAATGCCACAGAAGAACAAAAACAATACTTCAACATCCTTCAAAGACCTCTTTGGTGAGTGCATAATACGTCTCAAAATAACATCTTCATGCCAACATTTTCAAAACATCCCAAAACATTTGTTCTAAAATTTGTTCTGTGGGAACATGCTCCTGGATTTTCTACACGAACTACAAACACCCTGTAATATCCATTTTTTCACGTTCATAATTTATCTGAGAATATTCCTTTTCAGTTTAGGCTTTTCTGAAAATCAATGGGTTACTTCGAGAGATATCGTACCTCTTCCATAAGTTTTGAGTTATTTTTCCTTATTACCCTCTGAAACATGAACTATAGCGAGACAGTTTTTTCGACTTTCCGGAAAAATCAATCAAGGTGTCGCCGAAAAATGGAAAACTCCTCGGAAAACTCCCAATCAAACGGCACGTTTTTCAGACCATTATTCAGATTTCGGTTTCGAGGAACATCCGAGCATGCTCAGTTTCCAGTTTCCATGGCATGCTGGACGCTGTTGCATCTCCAGTCGTCGCCTGCCTTCCGATCGCGCTGTTGCTGATACTCGCGACGCGAATTCGCTGGTGCTCAGAAAGTAATACTCAGAAATTGCTCAGGAGGTTTTCTGAGCCGGGGTTTGTTGGTATCGCGTACGCGGTCGTGCGAACTGATCTGTTTTTTTTTCTGTGGTGAAGATTTTTGTTTGTGAATTTTTTCAGGTGTTCTGGATAATTTCAGGTAAGATGCTTTTTTTATCTCGAAATATTCCGGAATAGTTAGGTACGCAACTAGTGCGGTAAGTGTATATTTATACAGGGTCGCTGATATGTATGGAAACAGGTGAACATCTGGGAAACCGGATTTTTTTGAATTTTTATACTGTGTGATTTCAAAACGTGGCGGATTCGAAAATGTTTTAGCAAATATTGACCCTTTTTCAGTTATTCCGGATTTTCTTGCAACTTCCTTATTTTGAATGGAACACACTGTACTTGATTGGATTCTCAGATTCTCCTTGAAAAGCTGATTCCATTGATCTATCACACACGGGGTCTAGCGGAAATGATTATATAGGTATAGGGTGTTTAAAATCTAGATTTTTCAACTAGGATTTTTTTGTAACGAAACTATTTATTATCGGTCAAAACCGCTTCAATGGTTCTATCTTGACTTCTGATTCACTATATACTGTAAATCAAAAGTAAATATAGGAACATTGAAGCGGTTTTGATAGATAATGGATAGTTTCGACACAAAAAATCCCAAAGTTGAAAAATCTAGATTTCAAACACCCTATACCTATGTATTCATTTCCGCTAGACCCCAAGTGTGAGATCCATGGAATCAGCTCTTCAAGGAGAATCTGAAAATCCAATAAAGTACAGGGTGTTTTATCCTAAATAAGGAAAGTTACAAAAAAAACGGAATAACTGAAAAAGTGACTATAACATTTTCAAATCCGCCACGTTTTGGAATCACACTGTACATAAATTCAAAAAAATCTAACATCAAGTTACCGAGTTATTCAACTGTTTCCCTACATATCAACTACCCTATATATAAGTATATGCTATTTTATGCACATGTTGCACACACAATTTTTGCTACGATCGAATCATTTTTATTTCAAATTTTATTGAAGAATATTCGACAATGCAAGAATTATTATCAACTCTTAAAATATAGTTTACATAATAACAGGAAGAGTTTGAACCTGGGTTTGAACTAACGTTATTTTAATTGATAGTTATTTACTTTTTTGAGTCAATTTCAATTTCAATATCGCAGCTAGAGCAATTTTTTTTTTGTTTTTGTTTTGTATATCGCTACTTCAAAGTTGGGAACCAACTCCCCAGAAGTCGAAACTTGTGCGGGGTTAGGAAGAGCGGGACCTACAGCTTATAGTGGAATCCGAACCACTTCTAGGGCATCGAGGTGCTGCCAGGATTACAACCATGAATCACACATTTTAAAGAAAAATTTCCTGAGATGATTGATGAACAAACTTCATTGTCAGTGATTTTCTTCATACATATACAGGGTGTTCCATAAGTCAAAACCAGATAAATCCACATGAAATTAAAAAATGCCTGATCGACGTAGAAGATTTGGTATTGAATATATTTATATTAGACTAATCATTTCTTAAGTTATAAAATTAGTAAACTCAAGCAAAAACAGTTGAATCCATTTTGTAAAAATTACTATGTTAATCATCAAAACAAATAACGAAAATTGTATTTACGAGGTCTATATCATCATATTTCAGATACACCATGCATTCATTTCAAAACTTTATAAAATTGATTTATCTTGTTTCGGTCTTGTTTTGGCTGATCGCTCTTCAATTGTGGATGGTTCAAGAGTTATTCAATTCTTTCAATTTATTCCTAAAATCGTGAAGTTTGTTTACTGAAAAATGAAACTTTTCTTTTACAAATTGAATCCTATTAATTTTTATGACGTGTGTGACGTCGTATCAATGTAGTTTTCCTTGCGTTTTGTTGAATGAAATAACTCAGTTATTGTTTTAACCCATTAGCGCCGGAATTAATTTGTTTTCGAATTTCATTATTTTTTTGGCTGTAACTAAAATCTGAACATGAAAATGGTAAATTGAAGATTAATTAATGAAAACATCCTGTAACTCATTTGATGTCCAACGTCACCAATTGTCAATGAAAACTGAAAAGCTTCAAGACAGATACGACTTTGCTTTTAAAATAATCATTTCCGAGATCATTTCTTATGTTGAAAACGGGAGCAGAATCGGTCCCGAAACGTCCAAAGATAAGTGAACATTTGATATTTTTCTATATACCTTTATTTCTCTTCTCCAAACTTTTTTCACTACAAATTGTCACTGACAAGCTAGTGAATTTTTCTTTTAGGCTCTGGTAGGAAAATTCTTTAAACGCAGTGACATTTTGGGGCAAATCATTTGATTTGTCCTTACTACACGTATTGAAATAATATTCATATTTTTATTTTATAGAAACGAGGAGAGAAAATCCCAAAAAATTTGGAATAATGTATGGAAATCTTGGTAGATAAGGTTTTGATAAATGCAGATGAAATATCGGTTAATAGCTATTTGACATAAAATTAGTTGACATTTGGATATTTTTGAAAGTTTGGATGCTTGCAATAAACTATCGAAAGCAGCAGCGATAGTGAGTTTGAAAATGTCTATTCGAAATTTCCAATGTAGCACTTAGTAAGTATAGGTATTCTGTTCAAATTCCAGTATTTGATACAAATAAGAATTAATAAGGAAGACATTGTAGTCCACAATGAAATATATTATGGAAATGTGTCTCATTGAATATATAGAAAATAATGTACCAATTCTAGGAAATCTTTGTCAGATTTCTATATTCATATATACACATATCCGAATTGATAGAAATATTTATGCTTAGCCAAGTTTTTTGGACCTACTTTTTCAACAATATACGTGTAAGCAACACACGTTTTTTTACTGTTGCCATGAGTACTGTATTTCGATTTGAACTCGATATTAATAATTTCAATAAGGAAGGTAAGCTCGATATCGCGTATTGAGAGAAATGGCTAGGCACAGGGTGATCCATATCGAAGGGACCAACCTCTATTTATTAATTAATTAAACATTACGCGGAAGTTGAATGCCGTATAGAAACCGTTTTTGATTTTTTTTTACAAAAATCTGTGATTTTTCACGAAAATATTGATATAATATAATGTTCTTCACTTCTTCATCAACTCTTATATGACTCCATAAAAACATAATATATCCGTCTGGTAAATTAGTGATCGCACTCAATCCATTTGGAAATGTATATTCGACACCTGTAGAAGCCAACACACAAAATAGTACATTGTTTAACGAGTACGGAATGATAGTGATTTCCCACGAGAATGAAGTTTGCATTCGAGAGGGAAATTAGCATTCTGTGCGAGTTTTGCTTTGACTAAACATTCTCTGATTTATGAAAGTATTAAAGTATACAATCACCTTCCTACTAATCTAAAAAATATTACAGATATCAAAAAGTTCCGAAGTTCGATTAAAGATATATTAATCGAAAAGGCTTATTATTCGATCAATGGATTCTATACTGTGATAATCTGAATGTATTTTATGTTTATTTCATTTAATTTAATTTTACCCATTTATTAATTGTTTTGTGACATGTGTTTCATATTTATATATGCCTAATATTTTGTTTTTTTCTATAGAAGACTTTGTCAATAACATACCAATCTTCCGACAATAAAGCATATTTTGATTTGATTTGATTTGATTTGAGTTATACACTATAATTTTTCTACGGCTGTAACAGATAACGGCGACATTTTTTATTTCTCTGTCTTGTATCTGATTTCCTCTCAAGTAATGCTCATCTACTTGACAGAGCTGTCATTGCTTGAAATTTGACATTCCATGGGTGATGAGTTTTTTTTTAATAATAACACTATGAAGTCATTGTGATATCAGATACGGAAATTAAATTGATGACGAACATAGTACCTCATTGATGTATCGGGTTGCGAAAGTTGTAATAAATAAGAGGAATATCAGGAGACAAAAAATTTGACCACATTGTATATCTTCTGGTAATCTGAAGCCATGTGGGCCATTTATTCTTTCCTATAGTGACAGAGCTTTTTAAATGTCCACATTATATTTCAATTTTGTTGCCAAAACACGTGCAACTTAACGAAAAATTGCAAGCTGCTGCCGTTGTATATTGCCTTGTATATATATGTTCTGGAAATGAAAAATACGAGGACATTTACTCTCGACAAACTTACGAACAATTACCTCTTTTTCATCCAGCTATATATAGTGATCATAAATCGAGAAGTCGTGTCTGGTAATTACGAACAATTATGAACTTTGTATATCCTGCATTGGCCCCTATAGGTACCTATGTCCACTTATTCTCCGCTCCCTCATTTCATGGTCCAAAATTGTTTTTTTCGAGAAAAAAAAACATGCTGAGGTTCAGGATTGATTCACTGGGTTTCTCAGAAGGTTTTTTTTTTGGAAAAGTTCTCTGATTTTTTCAAACAATTTTATTTACTTAGCATTTTCGATCCCAGTCAACACATAATGGATATCCATTGGACATTCATTTTGGATATTTCAGACATCCAGAGAACATCTTCTCGATATCTGATATATATTATTTGGAAGTCCAATGGAAGAGGACTTCCATCATGAGATATCTCCTTCAAGGATATTCATAACATATTTTTAGAGACTATATATCCATAAGATACTGATCACAGATATTCACAAGATATCTCTCAGTGGTATCATTGAGATAGAGATATCATTCAGGAATATCATGTATAGTTTTGTTGAATCAGAGGAATAAAGCCGAGAGGGTGAAAAATTGAAGGTACTCAAACTTTTGAAAATGAACTAGAAAAAAATTAGTTGTTCTGGATATGACACTGAATTAGAATCCTATATACAAAAAGAATACATTTGAAGTGTAAAGATAAAGAATATCCTTTTTGAGTTTGAAAAAAACTCTATTAAAATAACTTCGAACGACTTTCATGCACGAGCAGGAGTAAATTAGCACTTTACTGCCTGTTTAAGCAGGCGTAAAGTGGCATTTTATCGCCCGCAGACTACTTCATCGCCTGGATATGATCGAACTCAAAATATATTTTCTGTGATACTGTGATACTTTGGTCAAACGAGTCCCACCATCTCCTGACACTATAGGCTCCTGATGATA